CATGGAACACTTCATCTAAAACTAATGATGTAATGTATGGGGATTAACATAAGAATAAAAAAAATAAAATAAAATAAAATAAATGCCTTCCCTTCAATTACCCTGCTAAAGGACACTAAATCTGCTTAATTTTTCTCTCTGGGATTTATCACCACCTGATATATTAAATATGCTTTTCTTTATGGGTTCCTTGTCTGCCTCCCCCACTAGAATATAAGTTCCATCAGGTCATACATAGTCTGTGCTTTGTGCACCATGATATCAGGAGACCTTAGAAAAGTGCCTGGACATCATAGATTCTCAATAAATTGTTGTTGAATAATTGATTGATTGGATAAATTGCTTTTAAGAGGTCAAGGAAGGCTTCCCTGGAAGTGGACAGTTGAGTGTTGCTGGGCAAGTCAGAGTTTGCCAGACAGACAAGACCAAGGAAAAGCATTCCAGACAGAGGGAAGAGCAAGTGCAAGATTTCAAGGCAAGAAAGCAGACTGGGTTCCCGTAATCGTTTTGCCCTCTTTTGCCCTAGGCGTGTTGGGGACTCCGACTACAGTGATGGAGAAGAGGACTTTTACTACACTGAGATCAAGCTCAACACAGACTCAGTGGCAGATGGACTGAGCAGCCTGGCCCCAGTGTCACCGTCTCAGTCCCTGGCTTCGCCTCCCACTTTCCCCATCCCAGATTCAAGCCGAACAGAGACTCCTTGTGCCAAAACTGAGACTAAACTGATGACACCCTTGAGCCGCTCAGCTCCCACCACCCTCTACCTCGTGCACACCGACCATGCTTACCAGGTGACTGGCGAAGGACCGTGAGAGTAGTCACTTTGACCCCCGACCAAAAGCAGTCGCATTCTGCCGTGCGAGGAGAGGGTAACCCAGTGGAAAAACAGCATCACACAAGTAGCCCGATAGCTGAGTTCATTTTTTCTTTTTCTCCTTTTAAAGCCCAGATCTCACACCGAAGGGACCTTGTGGGCTCTTGGATTCCCCGATATTGACTGAAGATCCAATCCCTTAGAGGTTGTCATAGGATTAAAATCCTTCATATCATAAAGATCTCAGAAGGGTGACTGGCACACGATATAAGTATCTGTTAAATAAAAAATAAAATAAATGAGAAGGTGAGCACTATAAAGCTTTGGCACAATGACATAATCACCCTGCGCTCCAAATCTGGGACTTCATGCCCTGCCTCCTGAATCGGTAACTAATCCTCACAGATCAGAGAGGCGATTATCAGTGTTCCCCAAATCAACAGCGTCAGCATCACCTGGGAACTTGTTAGAAATGTAAATTCTTGGGACTGCCCCAGACCTGCCGGGCAGAAGCAGATCTGCTTCACTGGAAAGTCTGATAAGACCTTACACACAAAGCCTGCAAATAGGACTTGGCTAAAGCTCCTTTGTCCCCCCAACAATTATTAACTCATTTAAACATTGATTTGTTTTAATGACATTTCAAAACATTCAAATTTTAAGGGAACATTTTTTTCCATAATTCTCAACTACTTGGTGCAACTTTAAAAAAAAAATCTTCTGTCCATATTTGTAATTGTGTTCTCCCACCCTGGTTTTATAAACACTTTCATATAACTGAATAGTTTTCGGTTACATCGAAGCACCGAAGTGTTTTAATCATTCTCGTATTGTTGGGTATCTACTCTTTAGTCTCTCCAGTTTTTTCCACTATCATTAATAACTCTACTATGAACACCTCTGTGCCAGTAGCTTTTTTTTTCCCCTTTGAATTCCCAGAAGAGTTAATTATTGAGTCAGAGGATATAACATGAACAGCTTATGGTTATTGCTATGTATTACCAAAATATTTCCCAGCGATGCCAGTTATCAAACCACCTTCACTAGCAGCTACATCTATAATTAGATGTAGAAACCTGTAGAAGAAACATCCAGCCACTGATTTAGTAGACTTACACTCAAGAGCCATGGAATAGAGCTAATAATTAAATTAGCTGAGGCAATAAATTTCATTCCTGATTCTTGTTATGTTGGTCAAAAAGAATAATTAGTTTCTTCATTCTAGTTTGTCAGTGTTGCATTTAGAAACACTGGTTCGAAATCATGGGCGTGAACCCATCCCAACTATGGTGCTCACCTGTATGAGAGTTGGAACATGCAGTAGGTGATCTAAAAGGTCCTTCCCAAACCATGTATTCATAATATTGGGATTGTTCTATTTATAGACATTATAAATATTCAGCATCAAAAATGTTAAAAACACAAGCAAATGAAGAAAATTCAAAAAGCCCCTTGGTTAATATTTTTTGTATGTCCTTCAAGACTTTGTTCTATGGATGTTTACTCATTTTTTTAAAAAAAGGGAATTTATTGTAACACTGTTTTTCTTGTGCTTTGTTTTGGCCACTTAATATATCATGAACATTTTCCCATACCAATCAGCATTCTTCGACAACATCAGGCTCTGTGGATAGATCATGATTTATTTACCCACTTCCCTATTATTGGACATTTGCATTTCCGGTTTTTTGTACCTAATACATAGTTCTGCAATGAACATCCTGTACCCATTTCCTTAGAATGAATTCTAGAAGTGGCATAGCTAATACACAAAATACTAAGAATTTTGATATATATATCGCCAAACTGCTGTCCCCAAATGCTGTACCAATTTACCCCCCTGGCATCCCTATATAGGATTGTTTCTTTCCCAGTTTGACAGTGAAGCATTGTGTTTTACACATAAATATGTCCTAAAATAGGTATATGTATATATAATAAATTTATTTTCAGAAACCATCAAAAACCTCCTGCTTTTATTCCTTAGATAGCTTGCTGAGATACATAAAAAGTTTATTTCTAGCTACTCTCTTGGACTATGTTTAATCTACTCCTGTTGGATAATTCGTCTAAATTATTAATCCAGCTGAAACCACTTTCAGGGCCCTACTTAGGCAATGACAGCTTAGGACTGCGAGGAGAAATGTTGTTTCATAACAATGTTCTCTGTTTTCTGTGGAACAGGCCACGCCCCCCGTGACCATTCCAGGATCGGCCAAGTTCACCCCCAACGGTAGCAGCTTCAGCATTTCTTGGCAGTCTCCTCCGGTTACCTTCACGGGCATTCCAGTAAGTAGAAAAACAAATAGCCAGAAATCTGGTCAACCCTGCACATAAATTTAGAGAACAAATTATAAAAACATGCAAGAAAAAGACAAAACTCAGAATGCCGGAAGTACTTTATTCCTTCAGTGATACTTGTAAACTCCCCAGCACGTATTTCACGATCCAGCCTAGCCCAGCTTGTCTGTGGAAAAAGGTGTTACGACGGGCATTTGAGAAAAGTAGGAGACTCTAGGAGAGTTGCAGCTGCTGATAAACAACTTGTTAGAAATGTATGGAGATTTTTTGTGTCTGTGGTGTATTTGTATGTTTCCAAAAGGCTTGATAGAATTAATAGCTGAACTCAGATGCTGAACAAAAAGAAAAAGACAAATGATATTTATCGTTATGAATAACTTTATAAAATTTATGACTTTGAAATTATTGTTTCTGGGTATGTCATTTTGAAAGGTTCAAAAAAACCCATAAATTGAAATCATTTTTTTTTCTTCCAAAGCTTGAGTAATCCATGCTGATAGGTATTCCCGAAAATAAGAGTGCTGAACTATGCAATCAGGTTTAAATGGTATATAAGAATTGATTTGACATAGTAAATGATTGCTGTCTGATAAATCGCCTTGAATTAACTTGATTCCTAACCATTCGTTTAAAAATATATTGGGTCTTTTGTAGCTTATCACAGAATATCCACAGACCTACACACTGTTGATGCCCACAGTGGTTTATAACTCCTGATAAGGTTCACAAAGTGGCTTATGATAACAGACATTAACCTTATTTTCTCCTCTCCACCCCTCTCCCCAAGGACCTCACAAAAGCTTCTTATTGTCAACCACTGGCAACTTCCAGAGGTTTCCAGAAAACACTAAGCCTCCTACAGTGCTGATAAAAATGAAAGCGGCTCAATCAATTATGCTTGCCCGGTCGATGAATATTTATTAAATTCCCTAGGAGAATAGCCAGCAATGAAAAGCATCCTGCTGGCGGCGACTTGGGAATTTGTAGCTTCCGGAAAATACTCCTGGAATTTGATTTTTAAATAATCGAGGATCTGGAGTAATTTTGAAAGTCACCTCCTTCATCAAATAGTAGTAACAGCTGGCTACTCTGAAAGTGCAAGAATGCAAGGAGGGATCTTGTTAGTAGACTTTAGAAGAGAGCACGTAGGTAACAGTTTTGCTCTCTGGCAAGAACAATGATCAGCTGAGGAGGGTGTCAGAGGTTAACCATCAGTCCTCTGGGGGACTTTTTTTTTTTTAATAAGATTTTATTTCTTTACATAAAGTATCTTTTATTCTACATGTGCTATCTTCAGCTTGGGGGACTTTTATTTTTTTATTTATTTTGGTAGACCTGAAAAGATGAAAAGACCCGGAGTGGCTCTCAATATCACGTTTGAGACAAGCCCCCTAACCTAGAAAGGCAGCTACAATTACAGAATTATAGAGACCCACTATTCTGAATCCTGTTAATTCCTGTCTTTGATTTGAGAATGTTCGAGAGCATACACCATATGGCTCACCTGGGGTACAAACACGTGTAGCATGTGGCTGGAACAGCCCAGTTCGCACTTTTTTTCAGATTACCCCTGTGACCAACCAAAATGGAATTTCTTTCCCTTTGCTTTATTAATTAAATCATCTCCTTCTGAAGTGCAGAGAAATTACTGAGTGGTGTGTGACTAGCTACATGTCCTCTAAAGTTCCTAAATATTTTACCCAGTAAGATACCAGCCAGGATACCTTCTATTGTTGGTTTCCCAGTAGCAAGATTTTAACACTCTTCTCTGCCGTGGACACCGTGTGTATCTCTACCCTCATCTCAATGCCCTAGATTGCTCGACGTCCCTAATTTCATTGGTTACCTGGGACAGTCTAGACCAGAGCTTTGACAGAAAGTGTACAGAGTGGCTGTGTTAACTAGGTATCCCACTGAAATCCTACTTTCACTTCTAATGTCTTCTTTCACCACAAAATTCTCATCTATCTGGTTGTGTCATGTTTCAGCCAACACTTCAGACTGTTTTAGCAGCCATTCCTATTTCAAACTAAAGAGGAGGGGAGGGGATGCTATTTTCCCAGGCTTTGTTTTACCCTAGAGAGAAGGCTCACTATTAAAAATGTTCTTTATGTTATATACTGTCTAGCAAGGCTTAAAAAAACGTGGGTGCTTACTGTTTGCCTCCTTCTAGTGGGGGCTGGATCTTACAACACCACCCCACAAAAACACAGGACTGGTGCGTGTCCACTGACTAGGGGCTAGCGACTGTTCCCGAATTCTCCAGGAATGCTGTCCCCGCCCCTAGGAGACGGGGAGCCAGGTGGAATCTAAGAGCATATGAATTCCTACCTTCTAAACTAGTATAATAGGGTTTTCGGGCAGAAGCTCTAAACGTTTTAAATTCTAATGAATTCGTATCAGTGATGGCCTCAACTACATCCAAACGGAAAAACAAGGCAGTTCCCCTTTTATAAAATGCTCTTTAAAGAACACGTTTTTCTTTGTACTCCAGAACAAATACCAGGAGGTTGTCAACCCCATTTAAGGTTTGCTTCCCCCCACACACACACGTCTTGGATACCGGGTATTGAGGAGGGGATGCTTTTATATGCTTCCTAGAGAAGGAAATACTCTCCTTCTGAGAAATCCCAAGGTTTGCAGGATTTTATTTATTCATTTGCCTACACAAGATTTCCTGAACATCAGGCTTTAATAAGTTCCCTGGGTAAGACGTCTTCCCGGAGGTGTGGAGTGGAGAAGGCTGTTCTGCCTAGCTGCAAATGTAACTAGAAGTACAGTCTTTTCTAGCTGAAGGCCGTAGACATAAGGGCAGGGAGAAGACCCTCATTAATTCCAGCATTCTTTGAGCTGTTTTTCCCGAATGACCGCGCCTTTTCTTCTAATTATCTGCATTCTTTTCTCTGTCTTTTCATGACAGAAAGCTGAGAGTTCTTGACCCCGTATGAGTCTGCCCATACTGCCATAACAGAATACCATAGACTGGATTGCTTTAAACAACCAAAATGTATTTTCTCACAGTTCAGGAGGCTAGAAGTCCCAGGCCACGCTGCTGGCTAATTCAGCTCCTAGTGAGAGCTTTCTGTGGCTTGTAGAGGGCCACCTGCTCGCTGTGTCCTTATATGGCCTTTTCTGTTGGTGGAGGCAAGAGAGGGGCCGCAGCACAGGTGGAGAGAGAGCCCTTGAGTATCTCTTCTTATAAGGACACTAATCCTGTTGGATCAGGGTCCCAGCCTTTTGACTTCATTTATCCTTATTTACTTCCTTAAAGACCCCATATCCAAATATAACCACACTAAGGATGAGAGCTTCAATATATGAATTGGGGGGGGACACAAACATGCAGTCTATACCAAGCCCACGGAACCAAGAGCGAATCAACCTGCGATCCAAGGGCCATTCCAGGAGGGCGTCAGCTGGAGGAGGGTCTCCAAACCTAAAATAGCAGTGCTTAATTATCAGACGTTTAGCTGGGTTGGTTTGTTTGTTTGTTTTTAACACCTTGAGGGAGGATTCAGAATAATATAAGAGATTACCACCAAGACAAGGAAGCTGGCTTTTCCATTTGAGAGATAGAAAATCACAAAGAAAAGAAATCTCCAACATATTTACAGAGGGACACAACATTCTTAAGACTGCTCTGGTGTGAGGCTCAGATGCAAATCCTGACTCTGGCATTTACAAACTGTGACCTCTATTCAGTCACGTGACCTCTCTTAAGCAATGCCCTCAAATTTAAACCACTCCATGGAGTTGTATTTTTTTTTTTTTAAGATTTTATTTATTTGACAGAGAGCACAAGTAGGCTGAGTGGCCCACAGAGGGAGAGGGAGAAGCAGGCTCCCC